CGAGATCGGTTCAGATTTGAATATAGCTCCCATATATAACTTCGTCCGATTTATATTTTATATTTTTATATTTTTATTTAAAATTTAAATTGAATTTTAAAGATACAAACGCTTCGGCGTATTTAGTCCTTTGAACTTTAAATTATAATTATAATCATAGCTTGTATTATTGAATTCTCCCATAAAAACTTTTAATTGTTATGTGGAGCTCTACTAAATTAGCAAAGTGGTGTAGGGTATCATAAATTCGGCCCCGTCCGACTTTAAGACTTTCTTTACATTTTTTTTTTTTTTTTTGTAAAATATCAAGTTTCTTAAAAATAACTCCACATTGGATTTATGCAAACGAAATGTTACGTCACTCGAAAAAGATCCTGGAACATACATTTACTATTTGCATATCTCAATGAACATTTAATGTTGTAGCATTAATATATTGATCCATATTCATATCCATATATTTTCATAATGCCATACCTCGAGATATTCGATATTTTGAGTATTTTATAGACATATTATATGCCAACTTGCATTTCAGGTTGTCGTTTAACAAAAAAAAAAAAAAAAAAAAAAAAAAAAAACTTATAAACAAGTTTTGAACATTTTTTCCCTTTTATATTAAGAATCCTCTTTATTCTCAAAACTGATCCGGCTAACATCAATGTCTGCCCTCAATTTAAGCATAAACATGGATCACAAAGTCTATTAGCGATTTATGCAAATAAATGTTTGGACTTCAAATGAAAAATGAAATTTGAGAAATAAAAAATGCCAAAAAGTAATAGATATTTTATTTCGAAATAATTCACAGAATTTTGGGAATTAAATCATGAATAAATTCAGGCGCACACGCATATATAGACATTCAATGTATTTGCAAGGTCCAGTTTATTTCAACGGCTAAATGGACCCGCATAAGTAGATTTTGTTGTTGTGGCTTTTTTCGGGGCTTCAAATTTAAAATTCATACAATACCAATAAATTGCTGGATTAAGGAAAAAAAGTACAAAAATTGAAGAAAGAAACACAAAAAAACGCGCACAAGGACATGCACACAGACATACTCCAAAAAAAAAAAAACAAAAAGAAATCAAAGCTTGAAATGCAAAACCAATTCTGGTTTAGATTTTGTTCCTTACTTTTAAAAGCTTTTTAAGAGTCTTTGCAAAATAAAAAAAAAAAAAAAAATAACAACATTTCGAAGACTCCAAAAACAATCATTTAAATGAGGAGTGATTTTTTTGATAAAATCTTCTTTTTAAGGAGGTTTGCTTTATTAGTCACTCATAAATGATGCTTTAGTGACGGCCGGCAGTGTCTTCAATTTCTACCGAATGCTGTCCGGTAACCTTGCGTCAAGAAATGATTAAAACTCATCATTATTGAAATGCATTAAAGCGACTTTGGGAGCGATCCGCACACACAGCCTCACAGCCTTAGTGCCAATGTGATTGTTATTTATGATGCCATTAAATATTGAAAGTCCAGAATGATGAAAGTTTTGCATTTCAGCAAAATGCTTTTGCAACGTTTTTTTTTTTTGAAATCGTAAAACTTTATTGAAATACGAGTATGATAGTCAATTTTGAAATTGATGTTATTTCTTATTGAACCTCCGATTTCTTCTTTGTATTCATGCAGATCTGTGTGGAAAAATATATGTTGAACTTTCTTCTTGGAATTTTGAAATTCAATTAGCACAGGACAAAATTATAGAGGTCTTACATATAATGATTGGAAAATTGGCAATTCCCAACATGTCTTATTGGGTCCAAATATTTGGAAACGAATTCCTGTAATGCATGTATCCTATTCCTTTGCAGGATTTCCCATAAAATGTATTAAGGACACGAGCAATTCTAAATAAAGAGATGTGGCAGGGGACTTAACATAGCCCTACTTGAGGTCTTCAGAATCCAAAAGTATTCGACAGAGTGAAAAGTAGATTGGATTGTTAGATTGGACGAGGCTGAATTGACCGATGTCAAAGCGATCTTCGAGTGTCATTCCCGCAGTAAAGGTATTTAAGTCTTGTATCTATTCTGATCAGAAGCCTTTTGCGATTTCAAAGTAAGAAATTGCAGACATTTAAGTTGAAACTACAGTGGTTTAATTCCATTCATAACATTCATTTGTCACTAAGTGACAAATTCGCTTCCATTAAATTGGGTATATGGGGTAATGAGGTACTTTTATACAGGGTCTAAGTCGAAACGTGAAATTTTATAATAATTCGTTGAGTGAAGATTTTCTATCGAGAACATACTTATAGGCAAAACAAGTTAAAAAGCAGTAAGTTCGGCCGAGCCGAACTTTGAATAAAGTCCATCATTTGGAACGAATTTGGATATTTTCAAAAAATAAAATCCGTTAAAAATTCTGTTAGAATCTTAAAAATACCGAATGTAGCTGTTACATTAGGGTCTATACGATGACATGGACCTGCATAGGCACTGTTTGTTATAAGCCATTACCATATTTTAAACGGGTATAATGTGGCATCTTCAAAATACGATATATAGGGAGGTACCGTTATATAGGAGCTATACAAAGACCTGGACCTGCATAAATAATTTTCTGTAAGAGGCTGTAGCATCCATTGCGAACTTCAAATGCGACATCACAAACCATTTCGGTGAGTATTGTACCTAAAATCGTCAAAATACCGAATGTAGGGAGGTACTGCTAGATGGGGCCGGTATGAAGACCTGGACCTGCATAAAAAATTTTGTGTCACAGACTGTAGTCCCCATTACGAACTCTAAATACGTAATTTGAAACAATTCCGGTGAATAATGCCGCTAAAATCATCAAAATACCGAATATAGGGAGGTACCGTTATATGGAGGCTATACGAAGACATGGACCTGCACAGACAATTTTCTGTCATAAACTATAGTATCCATTTCGATCTTCAAATACCAAATTTGAAACAATTCCGGTTAATAATGTCGCTGAAATCATCAAAATATCGAATATCGGGAGGTACCATTATATGGGGGCTATATGAAAACGTGCACCTACATGCGCGATCTACGAACTCAATCTGCCTACTGGCAAAATAAACATGCGGGCAAAATATTAGCCTTCTATCTCAAATTCGTTCGAAAGATAGCGTGATTACAACAGACAGACACACAGATGGACTTCGCTAAATCGTCTTTTTTACGCTGATCAAGAATATATATACTTTGTTGGGTCTAAAATGATTATTTCGATGTGTTACAAACGGAATGACGAACTTTATATACCCTCCATACTATGTATGGTGTAGAGTATAAAAATATTAAAAATTGTGAAGAATGTACCAGGAGGGGGCGAGAATCGTGGATTTACTTCACATTTTATGAGCGCTTTGTTATTAAAAATTCTGACCCTTTTGGGTAGGTGATACTAGAAGGAGTGGTCTGATATCTATCATATGCACCACATATCTTGTATTGGTAGAAATATAGAAATGTGTAAAATTTGATGAGAATGAGAAGAATTAACCGTATCCTTATTTTAATGGGACATTTTTAAGAAATATATTTATTGAAAAATTTGACCAATTGTGGGGGAGGTACCAAAAGGACTGGACTGATATACCCCAACTTTACACCTGATCTTGAGGAAATAAAAATAATGGCATGTGTGAAATTCGAAGACAATCTGACTCTTATTTTACATTCTATTAGTGTTATAATTATTCCAAATGTTGACCCTTTAAGGGGGAGGTACTTGAGGGAGTGTGCCAAAAATATTAAGATTTGCAAAATTTGCATATAATTGGTTGATCATTTCTTTTTATATATGGCAAATAATTTTCTGTACAAATTTTGACCTTTTGTGGGGGAGATACCAAAAGGAGTGGGGCATCTCTGGACTCGATCTAAGTTTGACAATAATAGTACGATGTCATAAGTTTGAACCAAATCGGATATTCTCTTCGAGAATTATCGTGTGCATCAAACAACCAGACGGACTACCCTAGATCGACTTCGAATGTCCTGAAACGGATTTGCTCCAAATATACCAATACCGTTACATCGTGAGGCACGTTATTGTCGTATCGAATGATATATATATATAGTTTGTTAACTTGAAATTAGGATTTTCTTTTTTTTTTCCTGAAGGAAACAAAATACAACATTTCAGTCAAAAATATGGCCAAAACCCTCAGAACCTAAGTCACGCCAAAGATGTAATATATTGTTTCTAAAAATATATACTTCACAAAATCCCGCAGCTGTCATGTTGACAGTGCCGAATTTTTACACCCTCCACTATTTTATGGAGAATATATTTGCTTTGTCATACCGTTTGTAACTCCTCGAAATATTCATAATAGACCCTACAAAGTATACATATTCTGGATTAGCGTAAAATTCTAAGACGATCTAGCAATGTCCGTCTGTATGTCTGTCTGTCTGTCTATACGCCGTATGTCGTACGTATGTCTGTTGTAATCATGCTATCTTTCAAATGAATTGAGAAAAACGCTAAAATTTTGCATATATGCATAGTTTACAAGAAGGCAAGTTAAATGGGACACGTCGGTCTACGTTTTCATATAGGCACCATACACCTTTACCTCCCGATATCCACTATTTTCATGATTTTAGCAACATTATTTACCCGAATTATTTTAAATTTCGTATTTGAAGTTCGTAATGGGTACTACAACCTACAACAAAAATTATTGTATACAGGTCCACGTCTTCGCATACCCCCCATATGGTGGTACATCCGTACGTATTGGAAGATCCTAATGGGTACTACAACCTACGACAAAAAATTTCATATTAAGGTCCACGTCTTCGTACAGCCCCCAAATAACGGTTTTCAATCAAGTGGCAGTTTTTGGACTTTTTTTTTTGAAAAATTTCAAGTTTCTTCCTATTGATGGAAGATATTAAAAGTTCTGCCAGGCCGAACTTAGCTCCTTTTTTACTTATTTTTACTTAATTTTATTATTATTATTATTATTTTGAAAATCGCGTGCATTTTCGACTGGTTGACACATAGCGTCGTCCTGACAATTTGGCTTCTTTATATACGGAGCTGGCGGGGCTTCTCTTCTTCGATACAGACCAAAGGGATCATAATGTTTTGAGCTATGTTTCACAAGATTCGCAATATAAAACTTTCAAAAATGAGTCATATCTGTCAATTTTTGGACCCAATATAAGGTTAGCCCCGATTATAATTATTTTTTAAGTTACTGTTATGGTTTCCATTTAATTTCCGAACTTGTCCTTTAAAAAACTCACATAAGGTTATTTAATATTATAATTTATCCTTTACGGTATAGATTGCCATCGAAACCTTCTAATACCTCAAATTCCCCCTTATCTTTTCCGCATTTGGCTCTAGTATTCGATTGAGATGGTTTCGCTATAGTTTCCATTTCCATAATGTTTGCATTGGCTTCGATTTTTTTCTTTACGGGTTCATTGCCGGACGGTTGGTGACTCAAACAATGTTTCATTATAGATGTATCCAATTTTACACTGGAATCCGGCAACATGGCCACCGGCAGGGTTCCAACCTCTCTGCATATATTTGAACTACCACACGACATACACTGAAGACCTTGCATGATAATGCCGGCAGCTCGAGGACATTCTTCTTTTGTCTGGAGATCATTTAAATCGCGAGAAATTCGCAGGAAATTATCTTTAATATATTTCTTAAGGGCCGGCACATGAATTTTATCCAATTTGGCATCCAACATGTCCTGGACCTCTTCCATGGTGCATATGAATTGTGTTTCATTCTCATTGATCTTCTTGCGCAGTGTTTCGATTTCGTTGAGACATGTCTCCAATAATTGGATTTTCAAATAATGTTCCTCGGCCCTTTTGATAAACGAATTGAATTCTTTTTCCAGAACAAGGATTTTATTTTCCAATTGAAAAATGCGATCCACCATGGGTGCTGAAATGCGACGCAATAGCTTTTTGAGGAAATCTGTATTCTTGAGCAGTTTACAGGCAATATCATTGTCCGGATTACATATCGTGCAGAGATCTTCTGTGGCATATGTTTTCCAATTTGCCCAGTCCAAAGTTGTTTCAGCTTGATTGTTGGCACGGCTTGTTTCCTCTAGGTGGCAGGACAATTTGCTATCGATTGCTTGAATTTCATGTTCCAATTTTAGTAGGTGTTGTAATTTATCGCTTATCACTTCTACGTTTTCATCATTGATGCCCAGTGGAGAGAGCTTGCTTTGATCCAGAAGTTTTTGCAATTTTTGGCCTTCAAAGGAGCTAACTATCACCGTTTCTGTTTGACAATTAAGTTTTTTGAGCAGAATTTCAATGAGACTCTGTAGGACGGCTATGTTCACATTTGTTAGATCCGGAGAACCCAAAGCTATTTTGGTTAAGTCTTTTAATTTGAATTCCATATCGGTTGTGCTTGATTTTTAATTTAATTTTAATAAAATTATTCATTCAGGTTAATGTCATAAAGAAATAAATATTTCTGAATTGAAATGTCAAATGTAGAATTTCAATTATTTATCGATTTGCCTCGAGAATTTGGACCTGGCGTATTTTGAAACATAACATGTTACCACAGTGATAAAGGTAAGTATTTTGGAACTCTCTGGTACTCTCATAGTTATGGCATTGCATTATAAAGATTGTAAAGTGGTTTTCTCGTCGTCTGGTGTAAGCTTAGTCGCTGCCAGGGTCTCCATAAGGACTTTCTAAACCTTATGAAATGTGAAGAGTAGAATTATCCCTTTCCTGGGGGTAAAAATCGGGTGTTTTATTGATTTAAATACGAAATTATAATCTACTCGTGGTTAAATGGGAGAGCTTGGATTTATTGGTGACTCCATGGAATTCAATATAAAGGTGAGAATACATAAAACGCTTTTTTTAAAAAGCAAAGGAATTTTAGGTTGACATGTTCGATTTTGGCCCTACGCTTCTTTGTTCTTTTCCGAAGAAGCCAGCCGATGACTTAAGCTAGGCGAAAAGCGTTTTATGTATTCTCACCTTAAGTTTGAAGTCAAACATGGTCACGATGTTGACATTCGGGTGGTGGACGAAGTATAAGTGATCGGGATGATTGGTAGTTGATGGGTAGTCGTCGAATGTTGACGAATGGCTGATCGGGATTTTTAATGTTGAAGATTTGTGAGTAATCGGGGATTTAAAGTAATCGGGAAATCTGGTGAATGGTGTCTGGGTATTGCGATGTTCGGGTTGTAGACAATTTGAAGATAATCGGGAACTCTGAAGAATGATCGCCAATTCAGATAAAAATTATATATATGTTATGATGACGATAATAATTCGGCTCACAGGTGTTCGGGTCGTGTACGAGGAGTAGATGATAGTGAACTATTATCGGTACTTAGAGCTTAGTTAGTCGAGCTATACTACTGTCTACGACTGCCTCTAAGTTACTTGTCAGGATTTTGGTTTTGTCGGACCGGCCAAACAAGGTGATAGTAGAAAGCAAAAAAAAAAAAAAAATAAAACACAAAATAGATAACCCCAGATATCTCCTGTTAGCCGAAGGATAGTAAATGACTTCAAAATTACCATGTACCCTTTAGGCAAGCCCCCTGCAGTAGGAAGCCCTTTTCATCAACCAAAAATACAACTATTCAGGGTGAGATAAAAAACACTGCAACAAAGTCAAACGCCATAACTTTAAAATTTTTCTTAAATTTTATTCAATTAAAGCAAAAAATATCGGAAATATTTTAAAATAAATTTAGATTTGTTCCAATTGGCCACCTTTGTCACGAATTATGGCCTTCAAACGGCCAGCGAAACCGTCACACGTTTTCCGAATGTTGCTCTGTGGTATTTTGGCCCATTCCCGGCGAAGCGCTTGCTTGAGGTTATCGACACTTTGGCATTTTTTTTGTGCCAACCTTGCTTTCCAAAATACTCCAGACACGATGAGCCCCGAGCTCAGTTTTTAATATTTGCGAATGGAATATTGCGATATGTTCGATATGCTCGCAAGCCATTTTTCGGCGGCTGCTGGTTTCGATTAAGTCGCTTTTTTTATACCCTCCACCATACTATGGAGGGTATATTAATTTTGTCATTCCGTTTGTAACTCCTCGAAATACTCATGTCAGACCCAACAACGTATATATATTCCTGATCAGTGTAAAATTCTAAGACGATTTTGCCATTTCCGTCTGTCTGTCTGTTGTAATCACGCTATCTTTCGAACAAATCGAGATAGAAGGCTAAAATTTTGCACACATGTATATTTTGCCTGTAAGCAGGTTAAGTAAATGAACCATGTAGGTCCACGTTATCATATAGCCCCCATATAACGGTACCTTCCGATATTCGGTATTTTGATCATTTTAGCGACATTATTCACCGGAATTGTTTCAAATTTGGCATTTGAAGTTCGAAATGGATACTACAGCTTAAGACAGACAGTTATCTGTGCAGATTCACGTCTTTGTATAGCACCCATATAACGGTACCCCTGATATTCGGTATTTTGGTGATTTTAGCGACAGTATTTACCGGAATTGTTTCAAATTTGTAATGAATGCTACATCCTCAGTCAAAAAATGAGCCATGTAGGTCCACGTCTTCATATAGCCCCCATATAACGGTACCCCCCGATATTCGGTATTTTGATGATTTTAGCGTTCCAAATTTGGTATTTGAAGTTCGTAATAGATACTGCAGCACAAAACAGAAAATGGGCCATGTAGGTCCACGTCTTCGTATAGCCCCCACATAACGTGCCCCCCGATATTCGGTATTTTGATGATTTCAGCTACATTGTAAACAGATTTTTCTTCAAGTTTCACCTTCAAATATTGTAATAACTTATGACAAAGGTTGCCTATGCAGGTCCACGTCGTCGTATAGGCATTCGGTATTTTTAAGATTTTAACAGAATTTTTAACGGATTTTTTTTTTTTTGAAAATTGCCAAATTTGTACCAAATGGTGGAGGGTATTAAAAGTTCGTTCCGGCGGAACTTACAGCTTTTTAACTTGTTTTCTTGTCGAACCATATCTGCTGATGTTGTCGTTTTCTTCCGTCCTTGACGTCGGGTTACGCTGCCTGTATCACGGTAACCAGCGATGGTACGAGACACAAAAGATTTATTCACATTTAAATGTTGGAGTGCTCTAACAATAGCCACCTGTTGTTTTCCAGCCAAATATAAAGAAATCATAATATCACGCCTAGATTCCATCACGAATAATTTTTTTCTGGAAAATTCTCACTAAAGTTCTGTTGTCACTGGAATAATTTTGACAGCTATCGGACGAGTGGCTTAGAAATGACAGCAGTCTGAAGTTGCTTGAAATTTTTTCATCTCACCCTGTACCTAAGCAATTTAGCTCAAAAATATATTCAAAATCGATTTACATTTTATCAAAACTAATCACCTAGTGATTTTCAAGTATAACGAGATGCAAAATTTTAACAAATTCGTGATACGTTCTCTTCAAAAAAATATAAAATCACTTTAATTTAAAAATACCCAAAAAAAAAAATTGGCAGAGGACATCATTTAGTACCCTTGAGTCTGTGAAAGATCATGTTTACAGGCTATTAAGCAAACTGCTTTGAAATTATTTTGCTTTTTTTCGTTTTCAAAATAAAAACACCAAAAAGCTAGCCCGAAACGATGCAAACATGAAAAGATGAAAAACTTCAAGATTGCCCAAACAAACTGACTTAATTTATGTTAATTAATTCAATTTTAAGGACCAAAAACTCAACGCAACTTAACAACAAAACGAAAAGACCTGCCTGACCGAAATCGTTCGTCATAAACTCAAATTGGTATGGGTGACTGGCGGCTGGCTGTTGGCTGAGATGTGATATTGATGACAATGACAAGAGGCGAATAGGTTTTTGCTGCTTGGGCTTGGTGTGCCCCCCGACAAGTCATGTGTGTGTCAGGTAAATGCAATGCGACTAGGGAGGAGTTTAGAGTGTAAATGTATGTTTGAAGGACAACCGGCCGGAATATAAACTTCAAATCAAGTTGAGCTTTAATTTAATTTTTTGCAGTTGATTTTTAGTTGGAAAATGTTTCATTAACTGATTGTGAACATCAATTTAAATAACAACAATAACTTGTGTGCATGTGCAACCCAGCAAAGTTTTTGGTTAAAATTCTCCATCATATTTTTAAGAATGAGGTAGAGCCTTTATGGCACACTCACCCATTGCCTTTCAAAAAAGCTTACTGGGTTCCTTGTCATTTCCTTCCATTACCTTTTTTTGCGTTTATTTCTCGATGCATAGACTCCACTCTGTGGGACAAAGTCAACGACGAAGGTGATAACAATTTCATGTTGCAGTTGTTGTTGCTTTTTTGCCGATATGGCCTGATGAAGTTTGTAAGCATCAATTAAAATAAACAAGAAAATGCTGTTGGAATCACTCTTTAGTGGTCAAAATGTTAAAACTTATCGTAAAAGCTTCCAAACCCATTTACATAAAGATGTGAACGCGTATGTCATGTTTGGTGAGCCAACGAAATGGAAGAGCAGCGTTACCATCAACATAGTTCTAAGCATCAGTTATAGACATCTAAGGCTAGAAGCTGTGGACATACTGGGGGGACTGCTACACCCTCTTTGTTGAGGAATGGGAAAAATTGCACAGTGGGTGAGAAGGAAACAAGAAAATGAAGGTCAAATCACAACTTTTTATACCCTCCACCATAGTATGGAGGGTATATTAAGTCTGTCATTCCATTTGTAACACCTCGAAATATACATTTTAGACCCCACAAAGCATATATATTCTTGATCAGCATAAAATTCTATGTCTATATTAAGAGATGTCCGTCCGTCTCTCCGTCTGTGAAAATCCCTCTAGCTTCCGAACGAAATGAAGTAGATCGATAAAATTCTATTCAAAAGTGTATTATGTCTGCAGGACGTTTGTATTGTAAATTGGAGATGTAGGTAGTCGTCTTCGTATAGCCCCCATATAACGGTACCTCCCGATATTCGGTATTTTAATGATTTTAGCGACATTTTTCAACGGAATTATTTAAAATTTGGTATTTGATGTTCGTAATGGCTGCTACAGCCTATGACAGAAAATTGTCTGTGCAGGTCCACGTCTTCATATAGCCCTCGTTAGCCCTTAAGCGGCATTATTCACCCAAAATATTTCAAATTTAATATTTGAAGTTCGTAATTGATACTACAGCCCATAACAGAATGTTTTCTGTGCAGGTCCACGTCTTCGTGTGGCCCCCATATAATTGTACCACCTTTTTCGGTATTTTGGTGATTTAAACGACATTATTCACCCAAAAAGTTTTAAATTTCGCATTTTAAGTTCGTAACGAAAATTGTCTATGTAGGTCCACGTCTTCGTATAGCCCCCATATAACGGTACACCCCGATATTCGGTATTTTAATGATTTTAGCCACATTATTTACAGGAAATGTTTCAAATTTCGCATTTGAAGTTCGTAATGGATACTACAGAATATACCAGAAAATTTTCTGTGCAGGCCCACGTCTTCCTGCAACCCCCATGTAACGGTACCACCCGATATTTGATT